TCATGGACACTGGAGCAGCGTTGCTAGGCTGCGGTTACTGTGTACGGATAGAGTCCAACGGACACAGCTTCCCAGCCAGACCCCAGTGGTGGTGGAAAGCCTATTCGTAGAAGTGATGAGCTTATTATTTTGCTTTTGCCGTGTGAACTGCGAGGCACCCGTGGGCTGTACCATCAACCCTCAGAGAGACCGAAGGAACTCACAGCCTGGATACCACATCTGCAGGAGAGACTTAAAAAAAATCCACAAAGCTGCCTATGTTGGAGATGTCAGGAAGGTCCAGCGTGTACTGTTCCTCAGGCAGAATGGCCTGGATGAGCCTGATAGGAAGAACAGGTCACGGGTGAAGGGACAGGGCGGGGTGTGTCTGGGAGGGGCTGGGGGCCGGCCCAGCTGTCAGTTTCCCTCTGAGGCTCCTGGAAACCAGGAGGTCCAGTGCCCAGCAAACTTTATAGGTGGCTAAAGCTTGAGCTGGTTTTGGACCCACTCATAATTCCCCTTAGAGAGCACTTTCCTGACAGTTTTTCAGTCAGTTAACTGCATGTCAGTAATAATAGAAACCAAATTCAACATAAACATAAAATAGCATCTTATTTTGAATGTACACTTTTATATACAGAGAAGTGTGTAGTGAGAAAAATAATTCCCATGATAGATGAGCCTCTGGGATAAAACTTCTTGGTATCAAATTCAAGATCCGTTTTATATCAGTGTACACGTTTGTACATACGTTCTTTACTGAAGGACCGTAGAGGACAACTTTGAAGTGGGGAGATAGCTGTGCTCTTAAATAGGTGGACTCATTTTCTTAAAATGTGTGGTCTTCCCATATTTATTCAGTTTTCCATAAACCAAGTAAACATATCAGAGTTTTTAAAAATTTTGAGTTACACATGCTGTTTTGAATTCTTGTGATGAAATTCAAGTTTCTGTGTAGTAGACAAAGAGAAAGCTTTGGCCTTCTAGATATCAAAGTGTGCTGTAAATTTCCACAAATTACTGATTTACCAACAGTTGAAAAAACAGATATGTGAATGGAACGGAACATGCCCAAACACCCAAGTCTATGTAAGACTTTGGAACTTGTTACTGATGAAATTTCATGTGAGGAAAAGAGAAGTTAGTAATGAATGGTGGAGAAATAATCTATTTAGAGAAAAGTAGCTAGATTTTTATCTCACAAACATAAGTGTCAGATGTATAGATTAACATTTTTAAATATACAGAGTTAGAAAAGTACCAGAAGAAAACATAAATTCCTATCTATACATTTTTTATGCTGACAAAGACATTCCTAAGAAGGACTTCAAAAGCAAGAATTCTGGAGGTTGATTGAACAACATAAAAAAAAAATCCTGTAGGTCAGAAATAAGATTAACAAGAGTAAAAAACAATGTGGTTTTAGAAGATGTACAGTGTATTTGTGTCAGACAAAAATCTTCATTTTTACTGACAAGTCTTTGAAAGAAGCAAGCAAAAAAAGCCTCTAATTTGAAATTGGGCAAAGTACTTTTTTTTCATATCTATAAGTGACCAATAGATAATAGGGAAAATATTTGATATCTGTGGTCAGAAAAGGAATTTAAGTTAAAAGAAATGAAATATCATTTTCCCTTCACAAAATTCATCAAGATGAAGAGCAGTGGTACTTTTACTGCTGATTCAAGTTTAAGTTGCTTTTGAGTTTTCAAAGAGATAATTTGCTGTTAAGTACTACATTAAAAAATGTATATTTCCTTTACAGATGAATGCTATTTGTATGAATGAGAGATAAATAGAGGTAAATTAGAGATAAATAACTTACAACTTACTTTTCTCAAGGACTACCTAAAACAGCAATGTATACAGGAAAACTCAAAAGATTTTTAAAATCAATTGCAGTGCATTTGGTATGGAGCAATCTTTGACCATGGAAGGTGGCATGGATACTAGATGTATGTTCACTTGCAGAGATGACCTTTTGAAGATCAATGAAAAACAGAAAAAAATCAATTTTGTTCTATATAAACAGAAGAAGGCTATGGTCTCTTAGCCAAAAATAGGTACACAAGTGTGATAAAAATATAGTTCTGGGCATTTGCATCCTATGTGAAGATTTTCCTTTTAATAAAATTAATTTCTACAATGAAGCAGTAGAAAACTTCTAGTAAATGTTTATTATGAATGAAATACTCCTGGGAAAGATCAAGAATATGAATCTTGCACAGATAAAAATAATTTCTAACTTTCTATTTTAAAAATTTTTTTGAGGATTTGAATCTTGAGACAACTTCTAGCCTCTTCAGAAGTAAAGGGAATCTTTTTATCTGTGCTTGTAGGTTTTACTGGAAATATATGCCTATGTTTTAGAATATATGTAGCTTTATTGCATATCATATGTAAATGATTATAGAGTAATCATTTTACTTTACATTCTTACAGAAATTAAAAATAGTAAATATAAATAATTATTATTGTTGCAAAAGTTTGTAAAACTTTAGGTATGTCCTTATGACAAGAAAGTCAAAAATAGCAATGTCAAAGAGTGTTCCTATTGCAAAAGTATTGCTTTCCTTTATAAAAGATTTCTTAAAAGAGATTGAACTCCCCAAGATACTTATTCATTCTTTCAATCCATTTATTCCTCAACTGTAACCTGAATACTATGATGTAGGAGACATATTCTTCATCTGTCTGTCAGAACCCTTTCCTCCTTAAAAACTCCATGTTGCCTCCTCTGAGCAAGATGAGAACTTTAAAACTGAAATATTAAGACTTCATTTTGGTTTAAGCTTTTCCTCCCTTCTTTCAAACAAAAGTGTGTCTGAGGGTAGGAAACTGTAAAAGCTAACGTTTACTTGCCCCTTTGAACATTTAGAGTAGTATATAATTTTGATATTTATCATTGGAAA